AAGATGGAAATGTGGGATCCGCTTAGCACGAGCCTTCCCGGGCAACAGAACCACAGCCAGACCCTTCTGGGAGAAGGGACCCTGCTCGTACAAGTCACAGTGCTATCTAAATGCAGAGTGTGGCCCACAGCTTGGTGTGTAAAGCCCTTTGGGAGCCAGGTGATGCCCAGACTGCAGCCTGATACCTCCTAAACAACTGCACATGCAGGGACCAGTGCTCCCCTAGCACAGGGAGACCCACAGACCCACCTCACGCTCTCTCTTCTCCAAATAGGCCAGTTCCTGCTCAGACCGTTTGATCTTCATGTGGATCTCCAGGTTTTGCTGGAAGGAGGAACGTGGAAGCCAGTGTCAGCAGAGGGTACGAGCTGTCAGGGTCCCCACTGTGCCCACCAGGAGCAGCAGCCTCTGCACCTGCACTGTGCCAGATGCAAAGGCTCCCCACACATCCCAGAACTCCTGCTGCCCCACAGAGGAGGGATGCTCCTCTCCAGGGCAAAGCAGGCTCCTTTCCCTGTTTTAACCTGCGCAGTTTGCTCCTCTGGGCAGGAAGAGCCTGCAGGTAGCGCAGGACACAGGGAGCCATGTGCTAAATACGTATTCACTGCTGTCTCTCACTATTATTTTCCTGCTGTCCCACTCAAGCCTGCAGACACCCCAATCTTGAGCCACCTCAACACAGCTTGGAAAGCCACAGTCTGATGTCACGGTGTGTTTCCACCCGGTGCTGCTTTGCTCGCTTGTGCCAAACCCAGCTCTTCCCAGCCCACGGCCGCCTGTTCCGCGCGGAGCACCGAGCCGCACGCGCCACCCCTCCTGCACCTTGTGGAGGTTGGAGAGCTGCTGGTGCTTGAGGAGCACCTCCTTGTTGGGAAACTGCCTCCTGCAGAGCAGGCAGGCCAGCTTGTTCCAGTCGGTCAGCTTGTCGTCGCCCGCCTTGGCCGGCCTCGGCGGCTCCTCGCGCGGCGCCGTCCCCAGCCACTGCTCCTGCTCCTCCTCTTCCTCCTCCTCCTCATTGTCACTGTCGCCTCCATACTCGCCCAGAAGGCCTATGAGAGGGTTCAGCGCCTTGGGCTGAGAGAGAGAGGCAGAACAGTGACAATTACAGCATCACCTGCTCTGCCACATGGGGCTCTGCTTCCCCAACCCATCTCCCCACCCCTTCTGTCTCTGCTCCTGCCCAGGAGTGAGAGTGCAGCATCCCGACAGCATGGGCAGCGATGCAAAGAAATGGCCTGACGGGCATTAAACGCCACAGGGGAGAAGCTCCCCTGCCCTCAGGACAGGCCATGCCCTGGTGCCAGGCTTCCCCAGTGTGCCACACACAGCACAAGCTGCTGACCAAAGCGGCAGCTATTTGGCACCGAGAGGTTGTCACGAGCACTAAGGAGCAGCAAGGCTTGGCCTTGCTCAGCCCAGGGGTAGCCTGCAGGATTCTGCATGGCCATGGCTCAAGTGAGGAGACCCTGTTAGACGGCAGCCTCAAATTCTCCCTCTGCTCTAGAGCCCCCCAGACCAGCTCAGCACTATAGAGCAAACTGCCTCTGCTGCTCTCCCTCGTCTTGCAGGAGGAGCTTCCACATCTGCCACCCAAGGCACAGCCTCGGAGAGTCCCCCGTCATCTACTCAGCCCTCACCAAGAGAAGAAGAGTAGCTCCAGGGGGTGTCTTACCGGGGCGGCACTCTCGTCCTTTTTCACGGAGGGAGGTAAGGGCTTTTTGAAGACATCTTCTGCAGAGAACTTCTCCTCTCCAGGCTCATTCTGAAACAGCCAAAACAGGAGGGTTAAGGCTGCTGCAAACTGGTGCTGGGGAAGTCTGTGCACAGCAGCTATGCACTCATGTAACAGGCTTCCAAGCAGAAAGGAGGAGGTGGCTTTGGGGAGACACCTGGCTGAGAGTCCCTCCCATGGGGTTTCAGAGGCAGCTGAAGCAGCTCTCAGGACCGTCCCAGCCTGTTCTGCTCCCACCTTCCTCTGGACCGTGACGGCTCCAGTTTAGCTACCATGTCTGAGCAGGGCAGAGCAAGTGCTATGTGCTGTCTTACCAGGCTTGCACTCTCGTCCTTTTTCATAGAGGGAGGTAAGGGCTTTTTAAAGACATCTTCTGCAAAGAACCTCTCCTCTCTTGGCTCATTCTGAAGAAAGAAAAAAAAAAACAAGAGGCAACAGGCATTAGGCCATCAGCAGCACAGGGGTCAGAGAGTGCTTGCCGCAACCGGAAAGCCACTTCCGAGCATCCATGGAAACCAGGCAGGCAGGAGACGTGGGAGTGGGGGAGTTTCTGCATTATGTCCCAGGTGACCTTTGCAGTGCAGCCGCACGGCCGGTGACGTTCGGCGGGAGCAGGAACCGTGGCTAGGGCAGGGCTGAATCGCTGCTTTATCCAACCTGCTACGTTCAAACATCTCTGCTATTTTTCACTAGCTCTGTTACAACAGTTGGGGGGCTGCAGCAGGATGAGTGTGTCTCCACTTCCAAGGATCTTTCTGAATCATTTACCACAAGAAAAGGGATGAGAAGCCCTGACTTCATGTCACAAGATCTTACTCCCACCTCGCCAGACACCAAACCATGTTCCCGGCCCGCTGGTGACTACATGAATTCCGCCACTTTCTCCTGCTGCTCCTCCTCTTTTGAATCCTCTGTAAACCACTCTTTTTCCTCTAACGTCACTTCTTACCTCAGCCTGCCGGCCTCAGCTCTGAGCACAGTGACTGCACAAGGGATTTACCTTAGCAGAAGTATGTTTCCCTTTCTCCTTCCTGTCCCTGTTGTCCCTGCCGTGCGGCTCCTTCCTTTCATTCGTCCTCTCCTGGCTCCCATGCCGCCGCCTCCGGCTCTCCGTAGGTGACGAGCAGGCGTCTCGGTCTATCACCACATCTCTCTGAAAGAGGCATTTGGAACAGATTAGCCCAAACCCTGCAGCACACGGACAGGCCCACGGAAACCGCAGGCCCAGGGAACCTCTGCAGATGGCTGGTTTTTGGCATCCCCGTAACTATCACTGTCTGGGCTGGGGGAGCAAAGAAACCCCACATGAAAGCAGAGTCTTGCTGTCCATCTTTTGGTTGACAGTCCTAACTCTCCTACCTCCAGTAAAACCTAGCAAGGATACTGTGCCTCTAAGCCTGTTCAACCAAGAAGAGTCTAAAAGCTCTCAAAAAAGCAGGACTTCCCAGACCAAGGAAAATGGTTCAACACACAGCTAAGGTGTTCCTGGCCTTGCTTCCCATCGAGCTGGTATTTTGGAGCAGGGATCCCTTCTACACAGTCAGAGGAAAAGCCACCCCTGTGTTGTCCCATCCCAGCCCTCCTCAGGCTCTAGCTGCAAAAGCTGCTCATGGAAGGGCAGTTTGTAGGAATGTGCTACGGGTAAAGTATTCCTTTAAAAAATTTAAAAATTTAAAGGAATTTAAGGAATTTAAAAATTCCTTCCTGGGCACTCACCTGAGTCCTGGGGTCATAGTACGTCCCAGCTATGGGATCATAGTAATTCCCAGTTTCAGGATCATAAATGTATGTGGACACATCTGATGGAGCTGAACAAAGAGAGAAGAGTCAACATGAGAAACTCCCAAAGAGAATTTGCCTTTTAGAAAGACAAAAGCATCAGCAAATACTGCACCAGCAAAAGGATCAGGAGGGGAAAGAAGAAGGAGGGAGACACGAGTGTCTTCACGTTGCTCCACCTACATCTTTCATTCTTCAGTTAGTAAGGAGGAAGATGGGTTTTCACAAAAGTTCTGCTTTAAAACTTTGGGAAAACTTCCCCAGTGTTTGCACAGGGTTCACCAGCTGACAATACTTTGCCTGAAAAAACCTGTCCTGAACTGCAGTAATTTCCCCAAGAATGGGGTGATGAGTTTGAGCTCTGCTTCCTTGGGAATGAGAGTCCTTCTGCAGTCCTGCCAGCAAAATTTCCTTTCTTAAACGATGACTCTCCCCTGCTCCCATCTGCCCCATAAGTGCACAAAAGCCCCTGACAAGAAAGGAGAGCCCACTGCTTCTCAGGGATAGCAGAAATACAGGGCTAAGCCCAGGGTTTGCACCCTGTATTACAAGAAATGTTCCTCATTTCCTAACTATAATAATAGTTATAGACAGAACTCAACAATATTGTACATACACCAGTAAAATCACCAGGAAAGATTTTTCAACTACAGGCCCTGCTGCACAGAGTATATTTTCTTCTGCCTCCTCTGGTAATTGCCAGGCTGATTTTGTCCCATCACTTTGACACAACAAGGAAGGCAAGTAGCAATTTTCCTTTATCTGCATGTAGCTTTTGCACAGTAAGAGAACACAGAAACACATTATTGAATAGGAAAATATGACTAAACAAAATTGGCAAAGGAACTAAGAAGTGGGTGTAGCAAGGAAACCTACTTTTAAGCCTTTAAAAATATTTTCTGGATGATTTCTACATGTCAGTGCCCTTTTAAGGAAGAAAAGACTCCACAGTAGGAGTGAGGCAGAGCTTAGCTTACACTGTGCTCTGGTGCATCTCTGCGATTCGCCGCCTCTCCTGTCCCTCATGCCTCTTCTGCCCTGGAATAAGTGAACAACACAAACGGATCAGACTCTGACAAACACCACATTGTTTCTCCTCCCTCCCACAGGCTCGGAGTTCAGGAAAACAATCATGTAAATAAACAGGAATCAAGCTGATGTGCCTTCCCATCTAACAGAAGGACCAGCAGCGCTGCAAAGCACGAGACCAGCTTCAGCGCAGCTTCGCATCAGGTGCTCAGGGCAATCCAGAGCAAAATCTCCAGCTCATTCTGCATGGGAAGAGCCCTGCAGCCCAGGACCATCCTATGGAACAGGACTGCTCCATAAGGGTGTCGTATTCAATGCTCCAGCCCAGCACCCTCTCATGCAGTGTCTGCACCTCTGGGCCCTCATGATGGCAGCGTTATTGGCACGGTGGGGAACACACCGAGGTGAATGTTCCACCTCCAACACGATGACATTTCGGCAGCCCAGAGGGAGCAGCCTGTCACCCCAGTGCTCCCTCCTGGCTCCACTAGCTGCTGGGAAGCTCTGGGAACCTACCGGGCCGTAGTAGGAATTGTCACCGTGATCCCCATAGTCGTTCCTGTGGAGACAAAGGCTGCAGGTTAAGAATGCCGGTCTGACCTCCGTGCGCTCCACACCAGCTGCAGGAGCACAGGGACAGGAAGAGCATCTTCTCCAGCCACACGCTGGATTGCACCCACCCCCGGACACAAAGAGGCTGTACAGATGGCTATTGCCATAAAAATGATGCCAACACACTCAGCTGAATCAGAAAGGCAGCTCTAACTGCTTCTTAAAAAGCCAAACCCGCCAGCCTCCTTGGAATGAGATCTGATGGCTGGACCCCAAAAGGGGGCCACCTGATAGAACGGTTCATCCCAAACCACTCGGTCCCTGAAGCTTCTGCTCTGATGCCTTCTATTCTCTTCTCCAAACAATTTTTAGGTGGTAGGAACCTTAGTGCTGCTCCCCGTGCCGGCTTTTCGGCATTCAGGCTTACAACCCAGGACAGCTCTGCTGCCTCCTCCGTCCGTACCGTCTCCTGCCTGTAGCAAGGTTCACTTCCACCGTGCGCCCGTCGATGCAGATTGGGGGATCCAGGTTCTGCAGGATCTTTAGCAACCTCAGCGCTTCCTGTGAAACCAAAGGAGAACTTCATGTTCCTGAGCAGGAAACATAAGCCCATTTCCCAAATCCCATCTGCCTGAAGGGAAGGTTTTATGCCTAAGAGCAGCAGCCAGAAGACCATGGTGGGAATGAAACACAACCTATTTGTCCAAGCATTACTGAAAGGTATTTAGGATGTCAAAGAAAGGATATATGCATCGTTAGGTTGTCTGCTTGTCCTGCGACCCTTTCAGCAGCCAGCAAAGAACCACGTTCTCCCAGGGCCTCAACCACACAGCACAGGGGCTCCTATTGCCCCCGAGAGTTTTAGTGAATACCTTCTTGACTGATTTAAACATGGATATGGAGTCTGGGTATCACCCTGGCTAAGAAGAAAACATGAACCTTCCAGTGAGGCACTGCCTGTTATTTAAGATTTGCCCCTTTGCAAACAGAGATCGTTAAATTTGAGGCCACTGCAGATGAAGTCTATACAAGAGACCCATTTGGAGTTTGGGAAGCTGTACAACAAGACATACCAAGGCAAGAAACTCTTTCAGCATCACAGCTGTGAAGACAAGAGTTAATCCTTGGCTCCTGAAGCTGGAGAGCAATCAGATACTCCCTACATCCAGCCAGGCCAGCAGGAGAGGCCACAGCTGCAGGGCAGCTACCTCACAGACTCAGTTATTCCCTGCATTCCTACAATCCCTCCCCTTCCACCGCCTGCAGACGCCGCGAGGGGCAGGGTGTGAAGGCCGGGCGCTACTCACAGCGTGCGACTCCAGCTCGATGAAGCCGTAGGTCTGCCCCATGCGGCCGGCCTTGTTCTTCATGATGCGCACGCTGGACGTGGAGAGCCGCACGTAGGGCGCCAGCAGCCCCACGATCACCTCGGGCGGCGTGAAGCGCGTGATCCGCTTCAGCATGATTGCTGGGCAGCAGCACGGGAAAGGAGACAAAGAGCACCACAAAAAGATCAACTCGGGTCCGGGTTTATCGCGACAGCAGAGGGAAAACCTCAACTGAAAACTAAAACTAAAGAAGGTTGGAAGGGACCTCTAGAGGTCATCTAGACCAACCCCCTGCACATGCAGGGTCACCTAGAGCACGTGGCACAGGACTGCGTCCAAGCGGGTTTTGAAGATCTCTAGAGAAGGAGACTCCACAACCTCTCTGGGCAGCCTGTTCCAGCGCTCTGTCACCCTCACTGTGAAGAAATTTTTCCTTAAGTTCCTGTGGAACTTTTGGTGTTTCAGAAGAAGTCAATGTCATGACTTCTTGCAGTGGATTTCTCCCTCTGGGATGAAGTGACCTGACCTGAATAGGACACACAGACCACACACACAGCTCTGCTGTGGTCCGGGGAAGTGGGAGCAACACGGATGGGTGTCTGCACTGACCTGCACTGCAAGAGGGAGGAGAGCAGGCTGGGGAGCAAGCCCTGAGCTGCTGGCCCCTTTGGAGTCTGAAAGCCATCACGTTTAACTCTCCTGTTCGCATGATACTCAGAGTACCCTCTCCAGTTGCTCACCTTCTCTTCCCAGGAAACAGCAAATAGGCCCTTGCTCCGAGGAGCTCAGTCCAAGGCAAAAAGGATGCCCAAAACTCTGCCCAAAGTGATTCTTGCCACTGCACTAACTTGACTGCACCATCCTGGAGACACCTTACCCTGACTGAACTTGCCTAAAGGGAACTTGCCAGCACCTTTGGAGACCCCGTCATTGCACCCAATGCCATGGATTTTTACCATATGGAAACATCGTCCTGAGGTTTTAGGGAAAAGCTATCCCTTTTGTTGATGGTCTCACACAACACAATCACTGGGAGTCCAGATTTGGCCCCTCTGCCACTCACTTCGGCTTCCTCCGCCGTCCTGCGGCGTCGTTTCCTCTGCTTCTCTCTGGGCAGGCAGGTCCTGGTGCCGGTCCACGTCCCGTCTCTTCTCCTGCAAGGGCCGCCGCTCTCTCCCTTCATCTCTCTTCCTGGGCTCCTGTTCCTGAGGCTGGCACTCCGGCTGTGGAGCGGGAGCTGTGGGCTGGAGAGGCTGCTTGGGAGATTCTGGCTGTCCTGACAGCTCTTGCTCAGGTTTTTCAAGCTTTGTCTCTGCTATTAGAGAAGAGATATACAGACTGGCTCCATATTCAGTGTTTCAGCAAATGTTTTCTTCCACTGTCCTCTGGCAATGGGAGCAGCTGACTTTGGAAAAGACTATTTAACCTACTATGCATTTATGTAACCAACGTCTTAACACTTTATAGACACAAAGTGTGGAAAGGGAAAGCGAGATACACAAACTCACCCTTCCATTGCCTTGTTTCACATTTGAGCCCTTCACCAAGAGGGTTTTCTGCCTCCTTTTGGTACTGGCTTTTCCCTGGCCAAACGTGCATCAGGGATGGATTTGGTCCATCCAGGTCCACAAGAACCCACCTTGTAGTGATATTGTTACTCTGCCTGATCTATTCTTGAACATCCGTGGCTGAGCAGCGTCATAGACTAGTAACTGTCATCCTATCTCTATGTTAAAATAAAACTAGGGCCAGACAGCTATGACTACTAAGTGAAATGCAGCATAATTCAATGCCCGAGTTTTATTAGGCACCCACTCACCCACAGATGAGGCAGACACTATATGGAACCCCCCTCTTACTACAGGCTAGCCATGCAATATAAAGAAAATCAAAGTTCCCCAAGAATCTGTGTTTGAGGTCTCCTGAAATATCAGGTCGCAATTCAAAAGACATCCTTGCTTTGAGATTCTAAAGCTGTCGGGAAAGGAAGTCTAAGCTGTGGGGTAGCAAAGCCAGAGGCCCCCAGGCTTTACCTGCTGTTGAGATCTTGAGACTCCTTCCCACTAAGAGGAAGAAATGAGAGCTCAAGACCTGGCACAGTGAAGCTGCACCTTTAGATGCCCCCACAAAGCATCTTTGGGCAGCGGGAACTTGCAACCATTGGCACCCAAACATTGAGGCAGCTGCGCGCTGACCTCTTGGTTGTGAGCACAGCTCATGTCGGATAGTCCTGCACTAATTCATCTCTGGCATGTGGCCTGCAGACTTTGGGCTACTCTCCACAAGCGGCACCTCACGTAAACTTGGCACGTGAAACCAGGCTGCACGAGCAGCAGTGAGAACAGCTTGTGCAAGTTATGTGTTTTCATCCATACCTTTAAAAACACACCCCTTAAACTTCCACCCCCAAAACGCATGAGCACAAGCCCAGAGAGAGCAGTTCTTACTGAATTCCTGCTCAGCCAGCGTGTCCTCTCCCTCAGGGCCACCTCTGGACTCGGGGCCTGCTCTGCTCCCTGTAAGAGACACACGTTAAATTCATCTCAAGACCATCAGTCACACAGCAGGCAAAGGCTCATGCAAAGCCGCAGTAATGACTGCATATACCCGGAGACTTATTTCATTTTGCAATTAAGAGAGAGTCATACAGGGGTTACCTTATTACAAGCATTATCACAATCCAAAAAATACCCAAACCCAAGGCAGTAAGAGGCCTGTGCACAATCACTCCTCACAGCACCTTAAAGGCTCTGTTTCATTTGCTCCTCAGCAGTTTGATTACAACCTGCAGCTGTGCTGGCCAAGGCAGGCAGCTGCACGGGCTCTGCCTCCGTGACGCTGCTGCCACGGTGCCAGGCAAGCAGGGGACCCGCGGGGACAGCGCTGTGCACCAGCACATATTTTAATGACCTTCTGCTTTGGGCGAGTGAGCAACAAAGCCAGGAACTGGCTGGAAAAACAACAGCGGGGCTGAGGCTTATCCAGCACCCAGTTCACCCGCTCATCCAAAAGGAAGCGGATCCTGAAGGGAATGTGTTTTGGCACTAGCTCCCTCCAACCAAAGGTGGGTCCTCTCCACGAGGCCTCGCAAGGGCAGAGAGCCTGGGAGCTGCACATCCACCCGCAACATCTTTGCAGCGGACGGGGAGAAGGGTCTAGACGAAGCAAGACTAACAGTGCCCCAGAGCGTTGCCACCACGGGCACAGCGATCCCAGGCTCACTTGTTAGGGCAGAGGAAGCTTTTAACAAACGAAGCACAAGGGGGAGCAGCAGATTCACTCACCGTCTCTCGGCAGCTTGCAGTAGGAGCAGGAGGAGCGGTAGCCCACGGTACACACCTTGCACTGCAATGGAAGATGGAGAGCATGAGGAGGCGCGTCCCGAAGGCGGCGGGAGCAGCGTATTCCAGGGGGCCAAGCCCGGCAGGGCTTTTGGAAAGCAAGTTATAGCCATGGAAAAGTGGCAGTGGGAGTCTGGGAGAGGGGGGACGGGCAATGGCAGCCTAGGCAGGGGGAGAGGGAAGAGCTCGCACAGCTCTCAGCTGGGACTGGCTCACGAACAGCAATTTCCACACAACTTCTGAGCCCAGATTTGCTCACACCGCTCAGGTGCTTCACCCAGATTGGACCTTCCCCCTCCCAAATGATGTCGGCCCCAAACCGAATCCCTTCCCAACTTGCTACCACGTCTTGGTTGGCAGTCAGGGAGAAAGAACAGGGATACAAGCCCAGCTCTTTGCTCTAGCATCTGCCCCAGGCAACTGTAAGTGGAAGCACCTGAGTCGGAAGAACCATGGGAAGAGCATGGGGACAAAACCCGAGCACCCAGAGCACCCGAGCTCTGGCTCATAGCTAGTAGGGGAAGATGCAAGAGCTTCAGGACAGGTTTCGCCCTTAAGGCTGGACATGGCTCATGCTCTGCCCTGGCCCTGCCGGAGCGAGCCGGGGAGCAAGGCGGGCTGCTCTGAGCGCGTACTCACACGCTTGCAGCGCCAGAACTCCGGGCACGGCGTGTACTCCAGGGTCACCTCCTTGCCGCCAATCGAGAGGGTTCCCTGCAGAGACAACGCGGAGAGTGACCGGCGTGCCCGGCACACCGAGGTGTCAAAGGCAAAGGAAGGGGTTAAAGCTCCCGTTTCTAAAGGTCTCGTTTCAAGTGAAACGGAGAAGGGGAGAAAGTCACCCCGCTCAGTTTGCAGGAGCTTTGCCATGGAAGCGGCAGGGAAAGCGCCTGCGTCCTGCTCCAGCACTGAGCTACCGAGCTGCGGATGTGCTCCAGAGCAAACGTTGCCAGGAGGAGCAGGGATGGAGTAACCGGAGCACCGCACGGGCCCTGCGTGAGCCTGCCTCGGCGCTCGTGCCGGAAAGGGGCAGCTGGACCAGCTCCTTCACGCCAGCTGGCTGCTGCCCGAGGAGGAACGCAGCGGCAGCGGCACGATCCCGGTGTCAGACTTCGTGCCTGCCTTTCCTCTAAGGAAGCGCGGCGACGGGCTCGGGAGCCACGGAGCCCCCGCGGGGAGCCCGGCCCCGTGGGGCTGGTCTGCAGGCAGGACACAGCCACGGAGCCGCTCGGGGTGCACCGCACCGCGCGGAGGGGGCCCCC